AACTTGAACTGGGTCTAAAGAACTGGTGGAATAAGATCATTTATCAAACCCATATTTGGGCTCCCAGTTGACTACAAACAGTTCACCTCTAATTAATTGGATATTTTAGCATTTACTTCCTTATTGGCATAATGGCATCTCCTTTTCATCGGATATTAACTAAAGCGCCCTCTAGCGGTCAGTGGTTCAATGACACCATGTCCCTTCTAAAATCTAATCCTCTACAATTGGAGATTAGATATTCAGGATTAGGATTAGATATTCAGTGAAAGGCAACTCCACTAAACTCTATAATCTATGGCGCCTTTCACGACATTCTTTCACTCTCTTCAGTCTCTGATCCCAGATTGAGTGATGCCACCCACTCTGCCTCCCCTCGCACATTTTTTCCTTGTTTTTCCACCTTATTTTTATTTTATCTTTTTACTTGGTTTTTACATATTTTGTCCTGTTCACTTATGAAAAAAATGTATATCCTCATAGGAAGTGAATTGTAAGCCTTTTTCCATCCGTACACTCGGTTTCTCTTTTGTTCTCGTCTCTTTTCCTTTTTGTCGGCGTCACAGAGAAGCTGCACTATGTGGCTCACTGTGACATTAGCAGTTAGAGATCCTGTTGTCATGTCCCCTTTCCTCCTAGTAAAAATATTAATTAAAAAACAACTAAACTGAGGTTTACATTTTACATGTGCTAACATTTTACATTGGGCAAGAACAACTTAAAATTTTCTGTATCAAACTTCCATAACGAGCCACACGATGAGTCTTTCACTGTCCTTCTCCATCTGCACAAAAACTAAAGTGAACCTTAACATTCATGACCTCAATAAAAATACCACTTGATCTCCATTGCTGAGTGTTGCTGCAAACATCAGAGGAGAATTGACCACAGCTGCAGAGCTCACGTCCCACCACATTGAGAAACAGAGCTTATAACGGAAAACCTCACTGCCTGGGGTAAAACCAAACCGCACATCAACAGGTTAGAGCAACATGGCAGAGAAACGAGACTTTAGATCAGAGATGTGATGACAGCTGCTTGATTTCTTTGTGCCATGAAGCTCAAAATGTCTGTTTGCATTCCTGCATCTGGTAACAAAGTAAAGAACCTCTGAGTAATTTTTGACCTGCAGGACTTATTTAAATCTAATATTAAACTGATTTCTTTGATTTTCTTCTTTCTGGGTTATTGCTAAAATTAAAGATATCCAGGAGAGACGTAGAAAACAGTCCATGCATTTGTTACTTCAAAAAAAACTTATTTCTAGAAGAATGAAAACATAAATCTCACTTCCTTCATCTGTTTTAAATTTAGCAAATCTCAGAGCTTTTAAACAAGAACTGCTTAATTATTTTAAGATATAGTTTAACAAATTTAAATGTCATGGCATTCTAGGTTCCTAAACTAAACATGTTGAACAAAGCCGTTTGACCTGGTAACAGGTGGTTTGATTTTTGCACCGTTTCCAACTTGATTGAAAAAATATATGTGCTTTAATTCTTGTAAAAATATCAACAAAATAATTACTAAAAATATCTTACAATTTAATTGAAAACGAAACTTAACTTAATCTGATGTTTCGAGTTCAAAAGGAGATCAAATAAATTATTTTACAAACCCTGCCGTCATCACACCGGACATTTGCCGAACGATAAACCTCCATCAATCACCCAGCATGCTCTGAATTACTCTATTTATTTACCAAAGTGATCTAAACAATTCCAAATATAAAATTTACTTACAGATTTTGGTTCTAAGCTTAAATATATTCTAACTGCCCAAAGAAGAAAACTAAATTGGTAGAAATTACAATTCACAAAATTTAGCATAAATGGCCACAACAGTAAATATATGAATTAAATTATGTTTCTAATAAAGCTTAATTATACAGATTTGTTTTTTATTGCGTTCTTACGATAATGCACTGATCAGTTCATGCAGTGTAACTGAATACTGGGTCGTTCTGCTGTAATATACGGTTTTCTTAAGGTTTTTCCATGAATGTTAGTATCTCTTTTGTGAGATATATGAAGTTTTATATGTTTTCCTTTAGGGTAGAAATGCTCCACAAACAAACTTGTGTGAAAAATGCAAAAGCGAAACATGAACTTTCCATATTTATCGGAAACTTTCTGTAAGAAGAAATAAATAAAAAACTATTTGAACTTTTTGACTTATTTCTACGGGGTAATAAAGTCATCAGACAGTTTTGAAATTTTAAATTGACCTTTGTGACTCAACACAAGGTCATTTTGTTGGCTGTATTTGCTTATTGCAAAATAATTTTTCCCCCATGTCACATAGGAGGCTCTGAATTATTATTTCATAAAGTGTAATAATTGCACTTAGACAATTATGCTATTAGGCTGATGATTTACAAATAAATAAATATTTATATATAAATATGTTTCTAACGTTAAGTGTGTAAATGTTTGTGTAATGATGTGAATCCAAGGAAGAGAAGCCAAATAAATAAACTAATATTTCTCCTGTTTCAGCTTCTCTTCATTGACTCTCTGCTAAATTAACACATAAAGTCTTTAATAATCAGCTTATTAAAGGTTTTTCTGGTTATTTCTGCTGCAGGACAAACTGAACGCTTTAATATCCACTCTGTACAGTTATTTCAACTTTTAACTTTGTTTCTTTATTTAACTCTTTATTGAAGCTACAATCTGTTTAGCTGCGATTCCTTTGGCTTCGGCTGAGATAACTAAACTAAACTACTAAATATTCTCACTCTCCTGCAAATAACTTTTTACTTTAACATAAAAAATTTTTTTTGTTTTTGCTTTGTAAATTCCTTAGAGATAGAGTATTGTGACTTGGCGCAATAGAAATAAACTGAACTGAAAATAATTAATTTTCTTTCCTTTTGTATAATAATAAAAATAATAAAAGCTTATTTGGTTCTCAAAAGATTAATTTTGTTTAAATTATTATGGATTTCTAATAAGATTAGAATCCAACAATTCTTCTATTTTAGCTAAATCAATTTTTATTAGCAATAAAAATAAATAAAAAGGCAAATAATTTCTTACCTTTCTTGCTTTCTGCAGGTTCTTCTGTTGTGTCTTAAGTGGAAACTGTGAAACGGCACTGAATGTGTGACTGTTTCTTCAGAAGGGAAGTTCTGCTTGGTTTTTTGCACATCTGTGGTTTTGTTTCGTGCCAATGAAGAGTCTGTGGTAATCTAAGATAAGTATAACAGGATGTAAGTTTTGACGTCTGTAGCAAATGTTTAGTGGAAAGATTTCTTTAAAAGCCCATAAAGTATCTCAAACTCATTTCATTCTCTGAACATGGTTTTGAACATGGGGAAGACGAAATGATGGTTTTCTCTCAAACTGCCAGAGGTCCATTTGTTGCTTCCCACTGCTCTCTGTGCACAAATGCAGTTTGTCAGTAATTATATAAATATCTTTATTTTAGATAAAGAGTTTTAAAAAGCACATAGAACAATGCTCAAGCCTCATCTGCATTTATCTTTAGTTGCATTGATTACTGCAGCAGCATCTTCACAGGTCTGTTCAACAAATCAAACAACTGCAGCTGATCCAGACGCTGCTGCTGGTGGTCTCACTAAAACCAGGAAGATGGAGCACATAACACACCTGAAGCTCAGAGAATAGACTTTAAAATACTGTTGTTAGTTTATAAATTGTCAAGATTTGGTGGTTTGCGGTGGAGAGATGAGAACGCAGGAACCCAGGTTGTGAAGAAAATGATGAGTTTAATGATAAGAGCTCAAAACAGTCCAGAACAGGCGGCATGGCAGAGAGAATAGCATACAGCTAATTACCAGTAGCATTTGAAAAACGAGAGCCGACACAGGACTTAAACAGTTATACTGTGACGACTAACTCGCTGACAGACTTACGCTGACAAAGCAAGGACCCGACAAGAGACAAAGGACACAGGTGGACTTAAACACACAGGGAGGGTAATCAGGGCAACTAGACACAGCTGGGATCAATCAGCAGGGAGGACAGGACATCAGAGAGACTCACGGGGAACCAGGACACAGAAAAAACCAAGAAATAAAGATCGTCACATAAATCACTGAACAGTTTTTACCAAATCATCTCACTTGTCTGACTGTCTGTTGGACACCAGTTCTTCTGGTCTTAAACAAGGTGGATCTTCGAATGTGAAATGGTGCAACGTTGGCTTCACTTATAAACTGAATGAGGAAGTTCAAAACTCTGTAACTTTCATAAATCTGCTGTGGTTTGATGTCAGCAGATTAAACTGTTGGCATCTGAGCCAAACGACCAAAAGGCTGGAAATGAATAAACAGTTTGTGAAGATTTTCGGATATTTTTTATTTAAACTGAGATGTGCCGATATTAAAGTTTAACAAAGGGAAGAAAAACTCATAAACAGATGTAGTTATGCAAAATCATCAAAAACTTTTATTTTAATTTCTTGTTTGCAAATGAAAAATACAAAGGCAAAAGCTGAAATATGAGATAAAATAAAGTCAGACGGTAACATTTTATTTGAAGGGTTTTTATCATTTTATAAAACAATATTTTTTGCATATGATATGAAGAATCAAAAGGCTGAAGTAAAGTTTTCTGTAAGTTGCTTTAATTTTTAATAAAATTTTGTAAAACAAAAAAGAAAGCTATTACATAAAATTTTATTTTTTGATACATCTTATTTATTTTTCCAAACACATCTGACCAAAGATGATAAGTTGTGATTATTGTGCAAAAACAGAAACAGTTACAGTAAATGTTTTATCAATAGGAAGTAAAGCAGAAAACTGAGAAACATCATGAAATTGAAGCAAATCTGGTTTTTAAACTGGAATTAAGAAAGCATGAAAAAACAAAACAGTTTTAATATGCAAACAAAAAAATGCATCAAAACATCACTGAAATCTAAATTTCCTGCATACAGGAAAATTATTTTGAAAGTCAAAAATGACATTTATGCCTTAAAAAATATTTTTCCTGAGGATCTTTGTGGAATCAAATGTTAACAGACTTTTAGAAAAATACTGGGAAAAGTCAAAAGTTTTACCGAGAACGTCTTCCAACACTACATGTTAAAAGTAGAAATGATAATTTGACGTCGTCTTCCCAGTTTTTACCAAATCATCTCACTTGTCTGACTGTCTGTTGGACACCAGTTCCTTCCATTAAGCCTCTACATTAAGTTTTTTTAGCTTAAACTCTGTTGCTGAAGAAGCTGGCGGCTCCTCCAGAGCTGCTGGATCTGGATCTGCTTAAGTAGCAGAGCAGACCTCCAGTCAGCATCAACATCAAACCAGCTACAAAGCCGATATAGATGCTCGGTCCCAGCATCACTCCCACCACCAACACTGGTATGTTTCTCATATTATTTGAATGCCAGCTGACCGGGATGATCACCAGCAGGCCGGCCAGTATCAGGCCCACTCCGGCCGCCAGGATCATTTTGGGTTTGGTGTCTTGGTTCTGAACACATGGGGTGAAGTCGGAACCAAAGAACAGGAGGAGGAGGCTGAGAATACCCAGCGTGCAACTGATGACGGTCACGGCCCGGGAGCCATGAGGCGGTGAGATCTGCTCGAAGCTTTCATACGTTTCACACAGCTGCAGTCCGGTTCTCCGCTTCACACACGCCATCCACAGACCTCCGTGAACTTCCTATCCACCCAAAGACAAACAGATATTTATATACACTTTATTAAACATGTTCCATGAAATTAAATCAGATAGAAAAATCAAATAGTCTTTTTACTGAATGTCAAATATGTATTTATTTTGTGAGAATCTCTTTAAACTTCCATCCAAACCAGAAGTTTATATAAATTAATATCACTGAGTCTTTAAACAGTTTAGAAAAGAACAGATGATGTCAGGAATCTGTAAGTTTCTGATGAGGCGTAAAACTGCAAAGTCAATATTCTTTTGTTTCATGTGTTGTTATAAAGACATTCTGCTTAAATTATACAATAAGACATAAAATAATGGCTGATTTAAAAAAAACTTTAAAGCTAACTAATAATAACTATCATTCTAATTTCAACCATAAAATGCATTTTGATTGTATATTTACCAGATCACCATAATGTCCCACAATCCATTCAGGCAGGGCACAGCAGGCGATGACCCCCATCAGCCCGATGGCGTCCAGAACCACAAATACCATCTGAACTGCTTTTGATGCCATTCTGTTAAAAAAAAAAAAAACTGGGATTAAATCATTTTCTGTGATATATTCTTGTGTTTTCTACTTGGCATCCTCTAAACAGGATTGGGCCTCTGGCAGCGACGTGCACAGACAGTAGAGGGCGCTAGAGCACCTGCCCACTGAAAATCACAACATGTTCAACATTCAGCAGCCGACATAAATAAAAAGAACTATTGTTACAAAGGCTCGGGTGGAAATTGTTTGTGACCAGATTGGGCCAGGTGTTGGCTGGTTCGGCCTGGGTGTGGAAGGTGCGCCACCCAGTGGTGAGTTCTCTATAGCACCTTCAGCAGCTGTAGAAAAAACCGTGTCTCTGAGAGTGGAGGCGTGCAGTTGGTGCCGACAGTTTCGGTTGGGGTGGATGTGCGTTCCTGACTTGTTGTAAGTGTTTTGTTATTAAATATGTTAGGGTAGTTTATTTAGTAGTTCTGCCTGTTCTGTAGGATGACGTTGTTCGTCGGGCCGTTGTTAGCATGCTACACATGGTTAGCTTCTCACCTGCGTAGTATTTCAAGTATTTAGGCTTATTACTGTTTCGTGTACAGTGGTTAATATCCGTACATGTTGATGTGCCTGTTTATTGTGACTTTTAAGTTATTTCACGTGTGTAGACCTCTTTAGCTGTCAGTTGTAGCATTTTATGAACATGTGGTCAGTTTGTGGCCAGCAGGTGTCACTGCTGCTACTTGTATTGGATACACGTGTAAGGTGTATTAATGTGGGCTTGTTTCTGTTAATCTAGACCACATCTCCAACTCCAAGCCACCTTCTGCTGCACATCTGCTGTAACGATGCAGTAAAGAGAGATTGAAAACAAAGCTCAGCTCCAGTTTGTTCTGATCGACACACAGTGGCGAGTGTAAATATCCCACCAGCTTCAACTTCAGAGTAGATCCTCATCTACAACTATATATAAACTTAAAATCTTTCTGTATCCAACTTGCTCATCGATCCACATGATGAGTCTTTCACTGTCCTTCTGCACAAAAACTAAAGTGAAACTGAACATTCAATAAAAATACCAAGCACTAGTAGAGAATATTCTCCAGCTGACACCTTATGGATGTAGATTAAGTTTTATTTTCCATATCTTATCTTAAAATTATGATGTGATTATCAGATTATTTTAATATGTAAATAACATCAGCAGCCATCTTGTTTCCAGCTCTCATTGCTTATAACTAAGAATAATATCAGTCATGTGTCTCACTGACCAACTGCACAGGTGTTGATGATTCTCATGACAGTCATATTCTGTGGTCCAGTTCTTACTACGTTCTGTTGGTTATGGGTCAGTTATGGCGCTTTTCCACTAACTAACCGGTTCGGTTCCGGTCCGCCTCGGCCAGATTCATTTTCCATTATCAAATCAGGCTCTTATTACTTCACCTATAACGAGACATTTCTCCATGTTATCAGTGAATTAATCTGCAGATGGAACCAGAACTTTTTCATCAAGATTAGGAAATTATTGACTGACAACAAGCTGTCATGATCCGTGTTTTTCTGTTTAGTTATTTTGGGATTTTCTGTGTTTAGTCCTGTTTCCCTGAGTCTCTGTGTTGTCCTCTCAGCCCTTGATTGTTCCCAGGTGTGTCTCGTTCCCTTGATTACCCCGTGTGTATTTAAGTCCACCTGTTGTCTTTGTCGGGTCCTTGTCTAATGATAGTTCGTCAGCCGACACAGTTGAACTGCTAAGTCCTGTGTCAGCATAAGCTCGTCTTGTCAGTCAGTTGCTACCGGTGCTGAGCCTCTTGTGTTTCTGCTCCGCCGTTCTGCCTGAGCTACACTCTTCATTAAATCATTTCATCTCAAACTGGGTCCCTGAGCTCATTCTCACCACCACCAACCACCGCCTTATGACAACAAGCTCATATTTGTTGCTGTAAAGTTTCTTATAAGTTAGTTTTGTTTTATTTATGTTATACTGAGATATTTGCACCATGAACTAGACTAAAATTGGTTGGTAAGATTTTATGTTTTTGGATGTATTTGAGTCCATCAGAACCAGAACCTTGACATTCTCCATTGCTGAGTGTTGCTGCAAACATCAGAGGAGAGTTGACCACAGCTGCAGCGCTCACCATAACTGTATTTTATGGACTTTCTGTCACTAAACAAGTTCCAGCCTTGAAGTAACAAATGCATGGACTGTTTTCTACGTCTCTCCTGGACAGGATATCTTAGCAATAACCCAGAAAGAAGGAAATCAAAGAAACCAGTTTACTATGAGATTTAAATAAGTCCTGGTCAAAAATAACTCAGAGGTTCTTTACTTTGTTACCAGATGCAGGAATGCAAACAGACATTTTGAGCCTCATGGCACAAAGAAATCAAGCAGCTGTCATCACATCTCTGATCTAAAGTCTCGTTTCTCTGCCACGTCGCTCCAACCTGTTGTGTGGTTTGGTTTTACCACAGGTAGAGAGGTTTTCCGTTATACTCACTTAAAATCCTTCATCTGATCCAGAACGCTGCAGCAGGAGTTCTGGTGAAAACTAAAACCATCATATTTTTGCTCAATGGTTCGGTCCAACGCTTCAGAAAAACATCTAACCAAAAACAGAGCAGCTCATTTTGCTCTCATTGTTCCAAATACATAATTATCAGAATGTGTGGTTTCGCTTCCCCGAAACGGACAGATGTTACATCCTGATCGTGGCTAAGGCCGCGGGAAGGTCACGTCTTCCAGCTCCATGTGTTCAAACCGCAGGGTTAGTTGAGTTGAATCCTTCCAGCGGCGGAACAGAAGCACTGGGTCCGCATTGTAGTGCAGCGCACTGCGCTTGTTACGGTCTAATTAACTTCTGCATTATTTCCAGATAAACTGTCGTCTCCTCAGTTTAGACTATAAACTATATCTTTAGTTTTCTCTGTTCTGTAATGGAGACTGGAATTAAAGGCTCCATTTAAACTAAAGGTTTGAATTGCGCTTCCTAACCAGACGCTCCGGTCCATCACTCTTCAACAGGCCGGCAGCTCCGGTCAGAAAGACGCATTTAGTTCAGAGTCCATGAGATGATATTCAGAAAGGATTTATTTATTGATTGATTTCAGTTGCCTCTGTGATGAACTCTGTGCGTAAAGTCTATCATGTCTGATCATGTGCAGTCAAGTGTTAATTACAACCTGCCAAAATGAAGGTTTAAGATTTTTCCATCGTTTACAAAGAAACCGGTCAAATACGGGAAACATTCCGTTAATTTGACCGGCTGTCTGGTTAATAAAGGGCCGTTTTTATCTGCAGGTCCATCTCAACCTGACACACACACACATAAACATGCAGTGAATAAATCGATTTCCAATCAGGTTGTTGCACCAAAGTTAAGAATAAACACGTTTTCACTGAAGTCCTTTAAATGTGTAAAGATTTGAAACTTTAAATTGACCTTTGTGACTGTACACAAAACAGACCAGGGTGTGTTTGCTTATTGCGAGGAAATGCAAAAGAAAACTTTTTCTCTGTGTGTTAAATTAACACAAAGGGTTTAATAACCAGCTCCATCATACATCAGAGTATCTGACTCTTTAATAATCACTCGTCTCCTTTTAACTTTGTTTCTTTATTTTTAACTCTTTCTTGAAGCCATTTGCGATTCCTCTGATCAGGTTGTCATTTAACGTTAAGAACAGCATAAACATTTAGTTAACATTTAGTTAATGCTGCTATTAAACGGTTCATTTTGTACCTTTTTCACGTTCTGCAGGTTCTTCTGTCTGTTGTGACTTTAAAGTGGAAAATGTGTGAAACGGCACCGAAGACGTTATTGTTGCTTCATAACGGAAGTAAAACTTTATTTTTTGTCCATCTGTGATTTTTGTCATGATCCGTGGTTTTCTGTGTGTTTTTGAGTTTTTCAATGTGTTCCTGTTTCCCTGTGAGTCTCTGTCCTGTCCTCCCCGTTGATTGTCTCCCAGGTGTGTCTACTTACCTGATTACCCTCCATGTGTATTTAAGCCCACCTGTGTCTGTGTTCTTCGTCGGGTCCTTGTCGTTAATCTGTGTCTAAGTTCGTTGTGTCTAAGTCACGTCTTGTTTCCGCTCCAGTAGAACTGTAAAGTCCTGGATAGCGTTAGCTCTCGTTTTTGTCCTGTGTATCAGTTGCTACCGGTATTTGGCTGTGTGCCTGTCTTTCTGCCGTGCTGCCTGTTTTTGGACTGAGAGCTTCATCATTAAATTCATTATTTTCACCATAACCTGGGTTCGCTGCGTCTCTCCTCACCACCATCAACCGCAACTCATGACAATTTTGATTTGTCAATGAAGAGTTTGTGGTCATGTAAGCTAAGAATAACAGGACGTTGACATCTTCAGCAAATATTTAGAAAGATAAGATTTTGTCAAATAAAACAACAGAGTATGTCAAACTCATTATGTTGTCTACAGATGGTTTTGAGTATGGATAAGACGAAAACGATGGTTTTCTCTCAAACTACCAGAGATCCCTCTGTTGCTTTCCACTGCTCTACACATTGAGTTTGTCAGTAATTATAAATATCTTGATTTTAGATCCTGCCTGGCTGATACCAGGCAGGACTGATCCAGGCTTTCATGCTGTTGATACCAAATTCTGACCCGACCATCCGAATGTCGCAGCAGAAATCCAGACTCATCAGACCAGGCAACGTTTTCCATCTCCTACTGTCCAGTTTTGGTGAGCCTGTGTGGATTGTAGCCTCAGTTTCCTGTTCTTAGCTGCCAGGAGCAGCACCCGGTCTGGTCTCCTGCTGCTGTAGCCCCTCCAGGTTCAACGTGTTGTGTGTTCAGAGATGCTCTTCTGCAGACCTCGGTTGGAACGATTTGAGTTACTGTTGCTGTTCTATCAGCTCCAACCAGTCAGTCCATTCTCCTCTGACCTCTGGCATCAACAAGGCATTTGCCCCACAGAAATGCTGCTCACTGGATACTTTCTCTTTTTCAGACCATTCTCTGTAAACCCTAGAGATGGTTATGTGGGAAAATCCCAGTAGTTTGTGAA